AAACTGAATACAAATCCAAATAAATTTATATTTTTATAATAATTATTATTGATAAAAAAATATATTTATTATTAACAATTTTATAATAATTGCTACTTATAAAAATGAATATTTATTTACACTATTTTTTTAATTATGTATTTCAAGTCTTTACATGTAATATTAAATATAAATATCTCATGTCACGGTGTTTGTGGTCGCACTCCTCCGAAACGGCTCGACCGATTTTAATGATTTTTTTGTATATTTGGTAGGTATGAGAATAGGCATTAAAGTATTTTTCACCTCCCTAACCTCACTCCCCTTTTTTAATCGCGATTTTTGTACAAACAATATGAAATAAATACATAACCCGAGCGAAGAGAGGGTGAGTCGCTGTATAACATAAACCCAAAGATTTTTTTTTGTAGATTGAACGCGAGCGTAGCGGCGGGTCTGCTAGTAATTATATGTATCATAATAGACGCTTATATTATTGTTTAAATATGTATACTTTATAATTTACTAGCCGAACTCGCGGCTTCACTCGCGCTAAAACTACAAAACAAAAACTCTAAAAAGGTACATATACAGGGTCTGTAAGAAATTTAAATACGTGCTCGTTTGTAAAAAATATTTCTTAAGTTTTACAAAAATAAAAATATTTTTATTGCACCTTCTAAACGGTTATAGTCCAGCATTAGCAAAAGAATGCGCGTGACCGGTGGAGAGGGAGGGATGTAGAAAGCGGCCCTTACTCATTTAAACTTGGCCAGATGCTATAATTTTACCATTTAGAAGGTGCAATATTTTTTTTTAGTTTTGCATAAAAATAAAAATTTAAGAAACATTATTTTTTCTTGTTACAGATGTCGTTGTAAATAGTAAACTCCCAAAAAGTTTTCAGTAAATTAAAAATGGCCCTGTATATAGGTGAATTTAGAAAAATGCTAAAATACGTATTTATTTATTTGTATTGAAGAGTATTATATTATAGCCTCGTAGCTTACCATGGAATTAGATGGTGTTGTGTGTTAATGTCCTGACATATTAATATTATTTATATTTATATTATTCCAAGTTTCAAGTAATTCTAATCATAAATAATTTTATTGGGTTGTATTATAACGTGTTTTCCCGTGTAAATAAGATAATCTTCCGCGGTAAAGAGTAGCCTATGTCACTTTCCAGCCTTTAAACTATCTCCACACAAAAAATCACGCATATCCGTCATGAAATTATATACGGTACTTATAAAAAACACAATTTTTGTCTGTTTGCTTGTCTGTTTGATTCGGCTAATCTCCGAATCGGCTGGACTGATTTTGACGAACTTTTCACTCGCAAATAGCTGTTACCAGGAGTAACTTAGGCTACTTTTATTTTAGAAAAAGAATTATTGTTCCGCTTAAAAAACGTAACTGGGGGCGCACCTACAAACTTTCATCCCCATATTCACCCTCTTAAGGGATGTTTTCCAGGATAAAAAGTATCCTAAGTCCTTTCCAGGATCTCAAGCTATCTTCTTACCACTTTTCATCTAAATCGGTTCAGTAAATCCAGAGATTACCGCCTACAACGTCACAAACTCACAAACTTTACCTCTTTATAATATTAGTATAGATTTATTAAAAAAGTAGTATAAAACAGAATTTTGATACAACTTCTTACGTTTCATTTAACTATTTGTAGGGGCCAATGTAAAATGAAAGTTTATAGGAATCAACATTAGTAGTAAGTGGTAGTAACAGTACAATAACTGTAACGTCGAAAAAGCTTATATGATCTCCAAAATTAAAACTTAAATATTATGTCCTATTGCACCAGTTAAGTATTACACAATTTATATATATAATTATTATATAAGTCAGGGGTCACCACTCTCTTATCGTTACTCATTTATCGTTTATTCTAACACGCGATTAAAGTTCATTTTAACTGTGATATTTAAACTATCTATCTTTGTCCTCATATTAGTGCATGTGAACGTATTTGAGGGCGAACGCTTTTTTTTATGGTTCTCAGTGACAAACGAGCAGACAACCCACCTGATGGAAAGCGGTACCTATCGCCCATGACACCTACGGTTCTTGCACACAGGTTTTATGTTACTAAAATACAGAACCGCAGGTGTGTTGTCACTGTGAGGACTAAGATGATATGCCTATTGCCTGTAATTGCGCTGGCTACCTTATCCTTCAAACCGGAACACAACAATGTAAACATTGTTGCTTGGCGGGAGTAATAGATAAGGGGGTGATACCCATTCAGTCGGACTCCTCAGGCTTAACAGAGTCCTACCACCGGTGGAAAATTCATCGTCAAAATTCAATAAAAACGCTTTTTTAATATATACTAATATTATAATATATAATAAATGTCAATGAATCGAGCAGACTTCCACACATTATACGTTACATATATAGTAGTATGATGATATTATATAGCCTATAGCCTTTATTATTATATTTATATAGCCTTCCTCAATGAATGAGCTATCTAATGCTAAAAGAATTTTTATTAATAGTATAGTACAGTAGTTCCTAAAATTAGCAATTTATCAATAAACAATAGTAGTTAGGCGGATGTGTTGATAAGAAAAAAAATTAATCGTCGTGTTTGTTATCTATTTTGTTTGTTATTTTACATCGGGTCACTCTTGCTCATGTATATATTACCTTTAAATTAAATATTATAATCGTTACTAGTAGGGTATAAAGAGGAGCAAGATTGGATCAGGCAAACGTTTATTGTATATTTTAGATCAACTGGTGTTTCGATTATATTTATTTAAAATAATTTAAAAACATGCAAAATTTCGATCTATATATGTAAATCATCAATATCGATATTCGAATATTACTATGACTGCTCTAAAGGTAAGTTTAACTGAAACTGAAAAACCGATATACATACATATATGTTGACCACACGTACAATAGCACTAAAGTCTCATTTTTTTCATTCATTCTTCATTTGTCATTTGTGCGGGATATATTATAAAGCACAATTATGTACATAAACACAGCACACTCTATTCCTCACTCTTACCCTCGGATAATGACAACTTAGCATTTTATCGGACTTTTTAAGGTCAAAATCTATAACCGGGCGCGAAGCTAAGAAACGCACAGGGAGGTTGCCCACTTCGGTGGGCGGTGGGAGGTGGCCCTCTTCGGGGGGCGGTGTACCTTACGGGTTGCTCCTGGTACTTCTCTGATAGCAGAGTGGACCTTGGAGCAACCCCATGGTTGTGGTGGTCTGCTTCGGCAGACCTGCCGTCGGGGTGTCGTAGTTGAATGCGTAAGCGATCCTGCGACGCCCCATTAAGACGGGGGAAGGTTTTGTTGGGTTTTAGTGGGTAGTACTGGCTGTATAACGCCGGTGAGTCCCACACGTCGTGCGTAAATGCATTTCCCAACGTTAAAAAAAAAAGGTCAAAATCTATAACACCATCAACTTTTCAACTTCGAGCTTCTACCAAAATTTCTTTTGACAAAAATCTAATAACATTTTTGATCCGACTTGAAATCGAGCTCAGGAACTTATGATCTGGGGACTTTGTTTTGTAACAAGTAAGTAGTGATTATACATTATTTCAACACAGGCAAAGAACATAATATTAATTTTTATTTTTCTAACAAACCTCTACTAATTAAGCAGAGGTCGTTGAATGTAAGCAATCATTTATATAATTTTAATTCTTTATAATATAATATAAGATAACAATTACAATTTATTACACAAATAATACTCAACAAGGATCATAATATAAGGAAAGATCACATTTCTGATATCTTTAACAAGGCCAGAAAGCCACATACTATAAAAATAATGTTTATTATATTCAAATTAATGCTAGTAATCTATCTGTCTATCTTTCTATCTATATAAATAAAATCATTTATCAAATAAGTAAGTAAACTATTTCATAACGGCTGCACCTATTTGGATAATAATTTTTTGTTATGTTTGTAATTTTCAGGACAAGGTTTGGGTGAAAGAAATATTTGAAAAATTGCACGGAAAAGTGTTTTTTTTTTCAATTCAATAGATTCAAAAATAAAACAGTGAGTTGACATATTGCTTAGTTATTCAGTTTCTTCATCATGACAACAATATTTAAAAAAGAAATTGATAGTTTTGTCAAAATGTAAGATAATTATATTTATCTATACTAATATTACAAAGTTTGTGAGGTTGTAGGGGGTAATCTCTGGATCTACTGAATTGATTTAGATGAAAGGTAAGAATATAGTTTGAGATCCTGGAAAGGACATAGGATACTTTTTAACCCCAAAATCTTAAGGGGGTGTAAATGAGGATTAAAATTTGTATTGGGAAGCAAGCTAGGGATGAGCTCGAGCGAAGCGAGGGTGAATTCCTAGTACATATAATAAAATTGTAACTGAGAGAGAACTGTAAATTAAATATTTTTTGGAAAATCTTATTGACATAGTCATTATTATCGATACAGAGGCCGAATCTATAGTTTTTAGATTTTTTGTCTGTCTGTCTGTGACCGCAGCACAAGAAAACTATTGGACAGATTTTTGTGAAATTCATTTATTTCATTTATTCAAATTGTCTTATATATACTAAACGTTAAAACGTAACTAGGGATGAACCCAAGCGGAGCGATGATGAGTCGCTAGTCTTATATAATTCGTATCTCCAGTAATAAATATAATTCAAAAAGGTTTTTTAATAGTAGTTAATATCCTCGTGAGTGATTGAAAAATATGACGTCACTCAGTCTATCAGCCCTTTGGTTATCGGTTAAATAATCTCAGTCAATATTTTTATGTTCATTTTGTCATCGAATTTGATTATTTAAAGGCTGTTTATACATTAAAATATACGGTCAAATTAAGTACATACATATATTGTTAAAGATATTTAGATAACCCGATAAGCATTTTAATAATAATTTTTATTTGTACAAAACAATTCAAGGCAATTTATTGAACCTAAGATTACATTAAGTTGGGTTTTAGTGGGTCTCTGCAAAGTGCATTCACCTTATCGTTGTCATGGGAGGGGGCTCATTAGAGCCCGGCAATTCAGCCAAAAGAGGTTTTGGATTGTGCAATACGATACGATAGCCATTCATATCCCAGGAGTATTTATACTTATGAAAGTTACATTATTTTGTTCTCTTTAATTTACACCAGAATGTTTTTTTTTCTCTTTTAAAGTATAATATACGTAACCGATGTCGATTACGGTCAGCCTCTTTGAGGCTTACCAACAGCGCGCACATACTATACATGTACATACATAGTGTACATGCGTGTGCGCAGATAAAAATGCACTCTCTATTCCTTTAACATTCATATTCTGGTAGGACGCCAACAGACCGGTGATATAAGGCACAGGGCAGGAACATGCGCATTCAAGCACGGGAATGCACACAATTCTGACTTCCCAACTCCGGGTTATTATTGACGATTTCATGATAGAAAATTTACAGAAAAACTTTGTTATTGTTCTATTCCGACCCGACCTGAACCTCAAGATCTGCATCAGTACATGCAAGCCACTAAACTAAAGAGGCTTTATACTTATAATAATAGTAAAACTAAAGTGAAAAACGTCATACGTCCAAAATTAATGATACTTGTTTCCGTGAGAAACAGATAAGAAAATGCATTGAAAGATATTCTTAATTGTATAAGTGACTCTTTAATTTGAGAAAATATTGACAGATTTTGGGTTTCCCGCAGTAAAAAGTATCCTATATGTTGACCCGGATAACCAGTTATCATCATACCAAATTTCATCAAATTCTGTCCAATGGTTTCCTCGTGATGCGTTCCCAGACAGACAGACAAAAATTCTAAAAACTATAAATTCAGACTCTGTATCAATGATAATGACTATTTCAATAAGATTTTCCAAAAAATATTTAATGTACAGATTCGACTTAGAATTTTAGTATATTATGTATATAGATAATTATTTTAATGTAACAAGGACATATATGTAAATAAGGATCTGATTTGTAAGAACATCGAGGAGAAGTTTACTGTTCCTTGTGGAATACAGGAGATGAACGAAAATAATCATTAAAATCGGTTTAAAATCAGCTAAGAAATCGTGTAACCAGATCACAAGGAATACCTATACCTACACTTAGTTAATTTACGAAATTGTTTTTCAGAATTGGTTAGAAATACGTGTTATATGAGTACATATTTAAAGGCAATAAAATTGCAGTTCTTTCGAACAAAAATATGTATTACTTATCAAAATACTATACTCTATATTAAAACTATTGTTAGTTCCCGGTTCAGTGTGTAACTAATGCTTACGGCTCGCTCTCGTTGTAAGTCCAGAATCAAAGGTAGCCTTTATATGTCCGTCACTAGGATGTTAAATTTAATCGAAATCTTCAGCGTTTTGAACGTCAACAGTCAACAGACAGAGTTACTTTCACATTTATAATATTAGTATGTAAAGTAAGTATGGATTATTCCCTTGTGGAGTTCCTAGCATATGTTTCGTGTTACAAAATCATTCTTCTTAAATAAATAGCAAACACATTTTATTCCACATACAGTTCCGGGGAACAAGATACAAAACTCTCTTGTACATATTTATACTATTATTAGTGTAGATGACTTACATAACTTAAATGGAGGGATCGATTTATGCACATATCTTTAAATTTTTATTTGAAAACAAATAATATAACCCATTTACTTTAAAGTAATCACTTTATTTTCTTTTATTTTTATCCTATATAATTGCATCGGTGGTCTAGTAACTAGCATATAGCTACAGATCTGAAGGTCCTAGGTTCGAGTCCTAGATCGGACCAAGTATAGTCATTGGGTTTTTCTGTCAAAAAGCCCGCAGCTGGGAAGTAGGTTTCATTCACTCCCGTGTGATAGGAATATAGAGTGCACGCATTGCACTATGATATCCTGTGCAGATAGCTCAATGAAAGTAGCCGTCGTGGGTGAAATTGGTGGGAAGAAAATTATTATGTTTTTATTTACAGGTGACCCAACCTAAATATTTTTATTATATCCCAAGGGATCCACTTAACACGCGCTGGACTTTATAGTGTGAGGGCACTATAACAACAGGTTCACACTTGAATTGCATTTCAATTAAGTGCAGCAATATTGCAAAGAAATCAATCGAGTTATTTTTTTTGGCATATTTTCGGGACTACAACAATGAATTTATTAATTTCTCATAAAACATGAATTTAAACCACTTACAAATTTCCGTTCCCTGCTCTTGTGGCAATCTGGGGTTGCCCATAAAATATATTCTTTTTAGAAAAATAAATTTCACACGTTTAACAGCTCATTTATTAACTATTTTTTATTGTATATATGTATGTATCGATAATAATGACTATTTAAATGAGATTTTCCAAAAAAAATTAATTTACACATTCGACTCAGAATTTTATTATATGTACCTACTAGCGATTCACCCTCGCTTCGCTCGGGGTTGTCTCTGGCTTGCTTCCCAATACAAACTTTCATCCCATCCCATGATTTCCGGGTTAAAAAATATCCTATGTCCTGTCCAGGGTCTTAAACTATATTCTTACCTTTCATCTAAATCGGTTCAGTAGATCCAGAGATTACCCTCTACAACCTCAGAAATTTAATAATTTATTTACTAACGCTTACGTCCTTAGATGCCTAATTGTACCCTATGTCTACTACACCACGACTTCTAATACTATGCCCCCTGATATGTTCCTGTGGGATAATACCTAAATATTAATGTTATTTTAAGACGACTTCCTCAAATCATAGTTGAATTTCCCAATAGATGGCGCTGCTAAATATGGTGAAAGAAAAACGGTATATTATATTAGATTAAATTATTTATAAAAGCATTACATAACTATTTTATTTTAAAATAAGCATATACTTAGTATAGATTAACGAATTCTTTTACGTTTTAAAATGTAAATCCATTTCCTGTTGGTGCTCCAAAATATGAATAAGTACGTAAATTTTATTAAATGTTAATATTTTAAGGTTTGAAAAAATGCATCTGGATATACACTATATGTAATTATATAGTGTATGTGACAAATAAATATATACAGAAAAGTGAAAACGATGTTGATATTAGTATTTATTACGTTTTGGCCTACACAAACAACGGTGTAGTAGCCTTGACAGAAAAACGTGTTCCAATGAATGAGTCAATGTTTACCATCAAGTTCCGCACGTTTAAGCCTATTTGTACAATATGTACTTACTATAAAAATATTAGTCAACAATGAACTTATGAGATTTAAAAAAGCACATTTCTCTTATTTATTACCTTTAAAAAAATTATGAACATAATTTACTATCATTACTAAAGGTAAAAAAAACAGTAGTAGCCCAGTGGTAGCGCGCTCGCTGTGAAGCGTATTCAAATCCCGGGTATTGCACCTCTGTCTGATATTTTAATGTGCGAATTATTTCCAACATGATTACCACTTGCATTATGGTAAAGGAAAACATCGTGAGGAAAGCTGCATGTCTGAGAAAATCTAACAAGTTTTCGAAAGATATGTAAAGTCCGCCAACCCGCACTTGACCAGCGTGGTGGACTATAGCCTGACTATATGGCCCCCTGGCATTGAAGGGAGGCCCGTGTCCAGCAGAGAGACGTTAAAAAGGACTGAATACATACAATACTAAAGGTATATAGTATGTGACAGGGATAGCGCGTCTGCTTGGAAGACAAAGTGGGTTTCATATCTAACTCCTAAGATCTTCATATCGTTCCTGAACTTATGATACCTCCTAACTAGCATTTTTGCGCAAAACCTTATTTTTAACCTCCGACGCAAAAAGAGGGGTTTTATAAATTTGACGTCGATTTATGTCTGGTTGTGTGTGTGTCTGTCTGTGGCATCGTAGCTATCAAACAAATGGGCCGATTTCGATGCGGTCTTTTTATTTGAATTCTTATAATCAAAAATTTATATGATTATTTGGCAAAAGCTACATAATACTAACTGCATTTAATTATGACATCATAAGAAGACGTAAATGCCAACCAACTACTTATATATTTTACCAAAATTCTCCACGATTTTTTTAATAATAAATTAGTTTTATGTTCCTCCTGTAAAATTTGTTTTTATAAGATCACAGAAGTTCACGGACGATGTACAAATTTTATTTTCAACACGATTACCATATTTTGCTAATGCAATTATGTGAAACACCGTTATGATACCTTTTTTAACGTTGCGAAATAAATGCATTTACGCATACCACCTTCATATATTAAAGTATTAATTATGTCAAAATCTCTCTCTAATCTCTCTTAAAATCGTGCATAATATTTTCGTTCTTAATTAAAATTTTAATATTTATATTATTATTACTTTTATATTTTATACACTAGCAACTCACCCTCGCTCCGCCCGGGCTCGTCCTTAGTTACGTTTTAACGTATAGAATAGATTTCTCAGATATAAGACATTTTCCCGCAGTAAAAAGTATCCTATATGCTGACCAATTTTCATCAAAATCTGTCTAGTGGTTTTCTCGTAATGTGATCACACAGAGAGAGACAAAATTTTTAAAAACCACTCATAAATTCGACCTCTGTATCGATTAACAATTACTATTTCAATAAGATTTTCTAAAAAAAAATTAGTGTACAGATTCGACTAAGTTAGAACTTTATTATATGTAAGTACTATCAGAACCCGCGGACTCGCTCGCGCAAAAACTACAAAATAAACTCTAAATTGGTAGATTTCATATAAACTTTCATTTGCTATTATTAGTATGAATTTCGGATTCGAAATACGCGAAGTGTTTATAATATTAAATGAACAATTCGTGTATATACCTTTATAAATTTATTTCATGCCTTTCCGAAACTGCTTTAACGAGTTCGATCAAAGGTTGTATTTAGATGCCTTTTTAAGTTTATTTATATAATATATACTTAGGTGTCTTTTTTATATCTTTTCTGAAAAAAAAACACCATGTGAAGCTCGGTCACCCGAGTACTTTTCAATTAAAGGTTATTTAATGACAGCGTTAAGTAATCAGGTTGCATACATAATGTGGGTTTGTCGTTTTGGTAACAAGTCTTATAAATAACTAGCATCTTACCCTCGCT